GTGCAACATCCATAAAATCTTTGGGAATTTCCTCATCGCAATTTGTCCTACAATAGAAGAGAAGTAGAAACACTTGTATAAAAAATTATAATTCACAAGTATCTTTAACCATTCTAAAACCACATGGACGCTCAGTGTTGTTGTACTTTCATTTTGTGAAAAGGACAAAATTTTACAACGATCACAAGATCTATCTTGGTATGGGAACGATGCCTTAGCTTCTCCTGTGTGTTCAATTCTCATAGCAAACTTGACATTGTGTTGTTGCTTCTTTGCTGCCAAGTTCCAAACCGACTTGGTCATTAGCCAGCCTTCTTAGTAAAATGGTAGAACAACACTTAATGTTAATGAATAAATTCTTTTTACAGCTTGTCTAGGGAGATAAAAATCTGTTTGTCCCTGATTTACCACTTGTGAATTATGAATATGATAATACTCAACAGACTGCAACCAAGAGTGTCACTAAAGTTGTCAGTTTGTTTTGGAGACAACACTAGAATTTGTCTTCTCTTGACTGTCAGTTCTTCGATTAATGTCCGTATGTTTTGTAGCTTTCTCTATGTCATCAAATCTTTTGAATGCAGCTGTAATGAGAATGCCTAAAATCAACAGCATTTTAGCAACATTTCAAGAGAGTCTCCATCAGATGTCTCTTTCACCTTAAAAAATTCCTGCCACTTTTTTTTTAGATTTCTATGTGTTTTTATGTACCAATATGTACCAATTTATGTACCAATATATGTACCAATTAAAACCTTTCAGTTTTGTGCTGATATTGTGGTATTTTTCTCATTATGTACAGTTACAGATCTGAATTTTTAAAAAAATCAAGTTATTACTCTGGTGGAGAAAACACAGCCAGCAAAACCCACACTGCATTGGGTTTTGACATGTTTTGTATCTTGGAGCAGCCTTTGCAGTTTGGTAAAATTCACCAGACCTGTATGCATCTTAGCATTTTTTAAATGCGTCCATTTGTCCGTAGGCATGTTGGCGATTTTCCTAGTTTTCACTTGCTGTTTTGCACTTTCTAATTAGTACTTGATCTGTCTTCTGAAACTCTTCCCTCATCATTTTGGTGAAGTCCAAACCTACACCAAATTATATATTTCCCTCACCTACGATCATTTTCATGATGCGCTTCACAAGTGGGACGAGTATTTCCCAGGAGACAGGTGTTGTAAACAAAGGCCGGTCACTTATATTTGAAACCAGTAGCTTTAGTGGACTTAAACTAGTTATGTGATCTACCTACGCCCTATTTGAATTTTAATATGACAACTGAAATTAACAGAATTGATTTTTTTTACCAGTCTGAGATCAGTTGTTTTCAACCCGCAAGGCTTGCTCAGCGTCGAGGCGTAGACGTAGGGGAGAGCAGGGTTGGTTGGAACACTTTTCACCTTTTTTGCGATATCTCAGCAGTCAAAGATTTGGGGACAAAAATAAAAACACTGATAGGAGATAATTATATGCCGCACTCATCTATGAAATAAGACATCAAGTAGGTCTTTTTATTTTAGAGTAATAAATGCTCAAAGTTGCATCTTAAAACGTTCCATCTCACCCCACCCGCGGGGTAAGTTGGAACAGGCAGTGGGGTGAGTTGGAACAAGAGGGCGAGTTGGAACGCTTGCATATAAATTCAAAGTATAATTCATTTTAAAAGTAGGTTTATCTATATTAATTTCCCAACAAGTATGTGTTATCTTGTATTCGTATCTCCATAGTTTGTAAGCATTTTTTACGTTTACAATTTGCTTTCAAATAGTCTTTTCGATGTATAAACCATATCCAGTTACACTTCATTTCATAATGATAACAAAAGTGGTGTAGTTTAAGAGAAAAGAAATTGAATTCACATAAATCAACCTATCAACAACAGCATGTTAGAACTACAAATGAAAACTGTATCTCTTTCAACTAGCCCTCAGAATCAAAATCGCAGCTCTTGTTGGGGCTCTGCCATGAGCTATCTATTGTGATGGCACAGTCCACAACCTTCCCCGAATCGACGTCCATGCCATGCAGAAGCTGTTTTACTTGTACATGTAGCACCACCTTATCTATGCTCTCCTGGGCAGTCTGTCATGCTATGTCTCCTAACTGTTTGGTATGGTCCAGCCAGGGATGGCTATGAAGAGGGAGAGGCATGGATAAAAATGCACTCAGTCTTTTAGGAGCATGACAACCTTTTCCAACCACATGCATGCCCAAAACGTTAGCCCTTTTTATTTAAAAAAAATATCCAGTTCTTCTAGAGGTCAATGTCCACCCTTCCTCAGACATGCTGCCGCAGAACACACATGCCCATTTCATTTCACTTGACCATCCCACTGGCACCTTGTTGATATCTCTGTCAGCCGTACCTCATCCCCAAGCTCAGGTGGCACTGACATTTTGTTGCAACTGGCTGCAGTGCCAAATACTGTATCCAGCACAAAAACAAATCAGACTTCTTCATGACGGAAACTAGTGGTTGACTGGACTGTTTTATTTTTTCCAGCACCTTTCTGTATGACATGGTGGCTTCTAGGCAGCAGCTGGCTACATGGACATGGCTTGTAATAATAAGGAACAGACAGTTAAAACCAGCCAGAACATCCCTAGCCTTCATCTCATCCACATATGCAACACATGAGATGTAGCAAGTTTTAGGACAAGTGGGATTTACACAGCCAGAGACTGGAAGGTGATATGGTAAGCAGTATTATTACAGTATTATTGCAGTAATGTAACAAACAAATTTGTGAGGAACCATGTTCTAAAATGATATTTTGCTAGACTGCAATGTTTGAAGCAAATGATTATCTCCTGCAACTGTCATCCTTTTTTTCATTTTGACAGTATCATTATATATACATAACATATACTGGGGTAGCGCTAGCAATTTTTTTCGCTTAGCCAAATCATCACTTTTTTGTCAATTTCTTATGAAAATAGTTTTTATTTGACTAAATTTGCCAAATCAAGTCCTTTTTGTTAAGCCAAATTAAGTCAGTTTTAGCATTTGGCTAAATTGGCGAGTGCTAGCGCTACCCCAGATATATAAATATATACATATATAAATAAATTTAAAGCATTTTCAAGCTGTTGTATTGATTATGGATTCTTCATGCCGCGGTTCTTTGTCAATTGTTATGCTTTCAGTGGTATCACTTAAGAGAGATTGATTGTTACATTTGGGTTTTTTCTTTATCTTCTTAGATAATATGGAAAATAAATATTGTCATGTTATGAGATAATTCTGCTGCATCAAAAATAAATCGGGGTGAATTTGCCAAGTTCATGGTGTAAAAACAGCATTCTAGGGTTGAAAACTGTAATATTGAATTCAAATATATCTCCCTCACCTGATCAGCTAACAGAACTGTTTTAACACCCATTTGATCACAACAACAAATACTGCAAACTGATTCAGAAAATTTTCTTAAAAGTTTTTACTTTTGATTTTATCACAAAAGATCTGAAATAATGTCTTTGTTAATGAAGCATTATGATTAAGGGTTCATATCTCCTATCACCTTGTTACAGAGCTACATTGGATACAATGCAGTACACTTAGGCTTCGTTCACATGGAAAGTCTATTTTCTAAATTCTATTTTCTATTCGCGGTATGTTTAGTGATCACGGTCTGTGCCCTGAATATCCTGCGGCGTAATTACTGGCAGCGCGAGCCAGTTACTATAAGTAACTGGCTCGCGCTGCCAGTAATTACGCTGCGGGATATTCAGGGCACAGACAGTGATCATAAGATACCGTGAATAGAAAATAGTTTTTTAGAAAATAAACTTTCCATGTGAACGAAGCCTTATTCTTGTACAAAATATAGGTAATGAAAAATATAATGCATTTTTTTTTTAATATTTTTTTTCAGCAGTGTCCAACAAGAACTATAAATGTGCCATTTCATGCTAGTGCAATGATTTAGCTATAACTGGTGCTATTAATGTCATTTACTTGTTATTTCAGTCCCAGCCAGCAGGTATCCCATGTTGGTACATCTCTCTGGCCCGGCTCCTAGGAGTATTTTTGTATATGATATAATAAATAGTATTTGTATATTGTATTTTTCCAGGACTTAGGCCCACTTCAAGGAGGTCCATGCCCAACATTCCTTGATTGTCTTCTAAACAGAGGAGGAAGTTACATGTGGAGAATTCTTAAGATATTCAAGAGAGGCTACAGGTAATAATTAAATAGTTTTTTATTTTAAATTGACAAAAACCTTGTGTTGGTGTTATAAATTAAAATCTTTTGTTTCAAATTGTCAGTAAATAATTGAATTGAGTTGTTTCTGTAGAACACAGACAGTGTAGGTTGCTCTCTAAGGGCCCATTCCCAATGAAACTACATAGATACTTCCAACTCCACAGGGACTCCTGCTGAATGCAATCAGATTAACATGCCTCCTGGCATTGAATAAAATACAGAAAAAAGCTGGTGATTATATGCGTTTGTTGAAACAAGAGAAGGCATGTTAATCTGATTGTATTCAGCCAGAATTTCCGTGGAGTTGGAGCAGATATATATAGAATGAAAAGTTTCAATGGAATGGGCCCTAAATCATTATAATAGTGTACAAGGCTACTTCTAAGTTGGGTTTGTTTTTGGAAAAATTACTGACTGCTGCTTCTTTATTGTAGATTTTTTCTGTTGAGGTTTTGACTATGGTAATTGACTACGCTACTTATTTTGGGAACAAATTATTAATGTATTACGTTTGTGTTATGTATGCTTACAAGTTTTTTTATGGGGCACTTTACTATTTCCTTTTCAGCTGGCAGAAGAAAGGGATTAGAGTTATCAAACATTGTAACTTTCATCACTGGACTGATGGACATTCAGTTTCTGGGATTTCAGCGCCAACCAAAAGTCACATTCTCTTTTTCTAAGGACATCTTTTTGCATGCCCACAGAAAATATAAACTGGTATTGTGTGAACATGCATTGAACTTACAATTGCCCTTGCTATGAGGCGAGAAACATCACAAAAACAACTATTTGATTTGTGGGACTTTTCTATCATCACACATTTTGGACTGTGTTACAGAAATGTCACAGTACAGTGAGTGTATTTACAGCTGTTTCTCTGTTAAAATTGGATTAAGATTATTCACTGAGATGACCTTTTTTTTTGGGGGGGGGGGGGGATGAGAACTTCCAAATGTCAAGTTCAGTGGAAACGGAAAGGTGAAGTTTTTGGAAGGCAACTATATATATATATATATATATATACACACACTGTGCATGATGTCAGTCTGTAAACATTGCCAAGTTGAAATTTTTTTTATTTGATATTTCCTGAAATATGTCTGAATATTACATAAACAGTATCTTTTATGAGTACAAATAATACTCTTTAACAAAATATAGAATAGTGTAAGAATATAGTGTAAATTATGGATGCAATTTAGGAATTTACTTAGTTCACCTTTGTGAATGTTGAATGAGACTGTATATATATATATGCAAAGACAGTGGGGAACTAGAACGAATTCCATGTTTTTAGATGCAATAATAATAATAATTCATAATGAAATCAATATGAACTTTGAAAGATACTAATACAAATTGTGGGATGACATATGCAGTTTTGTCTTGTTAAGTTAACAACTCTTCTAAATTTAGTTAAAGATGAATTAGTAATGCTAGATTTGGGATTCAAAGATCCAAGTTGGTATGTGTTATTTTGTAAAATTTATTTTATAAACAAAGTAAATATTCTAAATATTTCACTGTGTTTTTATTTGTTCCTTTTATGGCTTACATTTGGCTCAAAACTTCAAAGTGCCCCCTTATACATATCACTTACAAACACAAAGTCTAATATTTCTCCAAAAAAGTAATAATCCAGGTGGCTATAAGGTCATACTATTATGTTTGGAATTTTGAAAGGCATGAGTAACTGCGGGCACAATAATTTGCTGAACATGTCATTGTGGCTGTATATACTGTATTTTGCTAAGTGTGTCAAGGCTGTCCAAGTCCAACATGGTATCAGGGCAGCTCCCCCACCCCCAACCCCACCCTCCTGTAATGAATATCATCCTGACTATAAACAATATAATATGATATTGAGAAAATTATGCATGCCTTGAATTAAATTGTATCTACAGGTAGAGTTGAGGTAAACAAATAATCTTACTCATCCAGGTATCCCATTGATGCAGTAACTGACATTTTTAATTGCCCCCCTCCCCCTTAATCACCTTGCCTACCTTTAATCAAGGAACATGGAAAATCTTACTAATCCAGGTATCCATTCTGTCACCACTACCCCCAGCCATAAAAACAAATTTCAAAACTTTTCTTTTACTAGTTTCAAAATTATTATTTACTTAACCAGTTATTAAAAAAACGCATTCACATCTAATGAAATAATAAAACGTTTACTTTTATAGAAAAAGGATAAAATGGAAATAATGAAAAATAACGTTATGGCAAATTTGCATCTGACTTAAGGTTGACCAAGTGTTTGTTTAAGCGCATAAGTGAGTTTCCTTAATCTTATAATTAATGGCCAGTCTTTTTTTATGTTATCCTTTTTCTTATATTCAGTAAACCACTGAAGAAATTTATAAATGCCTCGAGAGGGCGGTCTTGAGAATTGCCCTAGAATTAATCGTCCGACATATCAGTCGCTGTAAACCGCAAAACCATATTTTACTTTAATTTAACTGAGTGGCTTTGTTTGGTCAAAAATAAGATTAATTTCTAAATTGAATTATTTTTTAAATATTGTCCCAGTGTTGTTTTATTCAGAGTTGTTTATTACGTTTTGTAAAACCGACACCCAAATTAAAAAAAAGGACATGTTTATCCCAGAACGTGTGGAATTATAGCGAGAATTCCCTTGGAGATAGATCGATCTACAGTTAGTACGATAGAGTCTGGGAATGGTCCCTAAGTAACAAGTAACGGATGGTTATTTTGCAGAGGTATAATCATCTGACAGTGTGCGGACAGTGTATTCTGTCATACAGGGGTCGCTACTAGGTTATTTAAAATTGTTGTATCGACCCGGATATTTGAGATAATCAGGCGGTACACGTTCTCTGACTACATACCCATCATATTTGTTTGTGAATCCTATTTTACACCATGGACAAAATTACGAATTGATTATCATGTCCAAGTTTACACCAATGTGTTGAGAAGCGTGTATCCATCCTTTATTTTGTAACAAGCTATACTAGAGACCCCTGTAATTTCAGAGGGTGTATTATTACCCTCTACAAGGGTCACACATGAGCTCTGACCATAGAGCGTTCATTTTCCTTTGTGCCTTATTTTTGCCTGCATATTTTGGAGGGTAAATCCCGTTTTTTTTTATTTCAGCACAAACCCAGTGTTTTTGAGACGCATTAGCACCCCACCTTTAATGATTACATTTTGATTATAGTTATATTTTCATTAAACACTTAATCCGTTAAACCTTGCAGCGTAATTCTCATCTTCCTCTGTGTGGAGTATCACGGTGACTCCCTTTCTCGTGTAATTATTAAACCGAACGGAAAGGTTTTTCATTCCTCCGGTATTATAAAATAACATTTGCATTAATTTTTAATAATTTGTTGACATTAATTGATATGAAATACTTAACATCTTGGCTCCGATGAAACACCTGCTTGTTCGCGCGTGCACGACTAGAAAGCTCTCTTGCCCAGTTTTCGTTGTGATTGAAATAATATTTTATTGAACTGTTGTGCTATTTGAACTCCGACGGGGATCTTTCTGATAATTGTAAGGTTAAATTTTCATTTTAGTTTTCTCTTTTGTTGAAGTTGAACGGATCCTTTAAGTAAAATAAAAGTCACGAACCATTATGAGAAATCAAAGTGGAGATTTTTTAAGCATCCGAGGAAGGAAAAATCTGATGACATCACGTGACCTACTTGTACTTAGAATCGCGGTTTATAAACTTTGCTGCATGCAGTGGCTAATTTAGAGGGGGGTCAGGAGGTCCTGCCCCCCCCCCCCTTTTTGGTTTCTGAAATATAAATCACACCAATTTTCCCCTCTTGAAATTAGAATTTTGACTAGCTAAATCATACTTCTTAACCGTACCAAAGGGCACTGTTTGCTCTCCAAAACACCATATTTGTTGAGTAGGCCCCAAACCCCACACCAAGGGGCCGGGCTATGGTCGACTTCGCATCCGAGGCCAGTCCCCCCCCCCCCTTCAAATAGTCCTGGATCCGTCCCTGTCCTCGACCCTCCACCTTACCCCAGCAGCTGAAGTCGCAAAAACAACGGCACTGCATGTGAGGGCGTTTTGAACTATTTTATCCACACTTTACAGCAGTTAAATAAACCAACAAAATATTTACAAGAGCGAGGTGGCGGTTTGTTTGTTAAATACAAATGGACGACGCACATGAAAATGTCTGGAGAGTTGGCCACAGTTAAATTTTTGTTTACAGTTATATTTTTGTTCCCCATCAACTTATTATCACAGGTCCTTGCTAACATTTAGCCCCGCAAAAATTAAACCACTTACCTCAACCACAACACGAATGTCACCTTTAATGAGGATGAATTAGTATTTATTTATTTATTTATTTATTTATTTATTTATTTATTTATTATTTTGCAGAAAGTAGACTTTGACCGTAAAAAAAATCTGTCAATACTCCACCCATTATGAAAAAACGGTTATTTTACCTTCTTCCACGCACATACTGAAGTACATGTACACATTTTTATGGTTGCTCTTATTTTGAAATGACTCATGCGCTACCTCCAGAATAACGTCAAATGTCATATTTCTTTAATTGAATCTGTTTTTAAATCGGTTTCTTTTACTGAATTCTTCTTTTTACTGAAAAGTTTGTAATCTAGAGTATCGTATTATACATGCTGAAGGGTAGAAAGAGAACTAGCCTTGGAAACAGGTTGCATATATTCTCTTGGAATATTTTTTAAGTTAATTACTATCCCAACTTCAGATTTGAGCGCTCTCTTTCGGCGACCTCACTGTTTCACAGCGAGAAAAAAATCACAGTGCACGATGATTGACGTTTGTTTATATAACCTGCCAATCAAACTGTTATTACTTGACAGTAACTATTAAAACTAACTGAATATGATTGGCACCTTGTCAATCAAAGGATATAAAAGTTTGAGCTTTGCATGGTCTGAGAGTAGAGTGTATTGAATGTGATTGACGTTTGTTTATATAACCTGTCAATCAAGCTGTTATTACTTGACAGCAGCTATCAAATCTAACTGAATATGATTGGCACCTTGTCAATCAAAGGATGTGAATATTGGAATTTTACATGTTCGGGGAGAAAATTATAGTAATTGTGTTTGAAGTTTGTTAAACCGTCATTCATAGTCGTGTGAGCTTGACAGCTTCCTTCAAAGTTGAATTAGCCTGTTTGATTTGATCCTTACCTGTCTATAACAATACATGTCGTAACATTCTGGAGGTAGGGGGCATTTTATTTTCTTTTTTTGCAGCGCGTTTAAAAACGTCGGGTTTTTTATTTCATCCGAGAGACTACATGAAAATTAACAACGTGAAAGAGTCCCGGCTTCTTTCTCAGGCGTTTTTAATTGTACTAAAATCAGTTGTCATTCCTTTTCTGGATATGATGTAACATGAATTAACGTTGATGTCGATGTTTGTCGCTCCATTATCCTTTCTTTGGTGCACGTTCGAAATCGGAACTTCGTATACGAACTGAACATATTATTTTAACCGTACTCATGTTCTTTTACACCCAATAAATATTTTGGATCATTTTTTAAAAACGAATATGTAAAAGTAAAACCTTGTCAATTTTTTCATGAGCTACAGAGAGAAAAAATGCCGAGATAATGATGTTAGTGGCCAGGTAAAATTAAGATCTACCGGTTTTGTTCGTTCCTTATAAAGGGCCGGGGCAATAAGTAGCCCGTCGCTGTATATATTGAAAGGAGCGTGCGTGAAAACTGTTGTTTTAAAATAAACTTCACAATTAAAACTGCCAAATTAAAATTGAAAACAATTTTATGCATAGCGTTAACAATCTTTCGAGCTTTAATCTGCGATATATTGTTAGTACATCATAAGTATAAAAACTCCAGATTTCTATAACGTGTGAAAATTAATAAACTAATAGTGGAATAAGTCGGGCTGGTTTGATCAAAGAATTGAAATTTTTGGTTGAATTTATTGAAGTTGTTCGTTCAATATTTTATACTGTAGGCTATTTCATCAGATTGGTAAAAACTTATCTTTTCTTTATACATAAAATGGTTGCTACGCCCTAAAAGATTTAATATTTCATCGAATATTTACTTGAAACATACTTTTTTATCTTATTAATTTTGTTCTATTTTTAAGTAGAAACAAAATTAATTCAGCATCAACAACAGCATCTTTGTTTTGCCTCATCTAGCACATTCTACGATTTTTTTTGTCCGAAGACGCATATTATAATGTAATAGTGACATTCCTCTCTTTTAGTACGTAAACAAAAAAATTGCACTCAAAAAATTGTCTGCGAGGCAACTTCATATCTTGGCTTTCTTTGTCCCAAATTTGCCCTTAGAAATACCCACAGATACTGAGCTTACTTAAGTTCCGATTTAAGGGTCATTCACAAGTAAACTCAGTCATTGTAATGTACACCATGGAGACGGGTGCCCGTTGAAATGGTGTTCAATTTAAAGAGAAAAATAACGTTATTTCGGTACATTACCAATGTAATCTATATACGGAAATGGTCACGGGACAACTAAAATGGAACCTGCTCTGCTGCTCCAGGGCCGTAGCCTCCGGTGGGGCAGGGGGGGCAGCTGCCCCCCCCTGGGATTTTAGGTGCAAAAGAAATAATCGCAAATGCAAAATGAACCCACAATTTCTGACTTCTGATTGAGCAATAAATAACAGTTAAAATGCACCAGAATGCAGTATTATACATACAGTTTTTAAAATTTTTTCACACCGTGGGAGGGGGACAACCCCTCCCACCCACCCCCCTCAGGGGCTTCGCCCCCTCGTATCCGCTTACTGCCCCCCTGGCATTTTGCTCAGGCTACGGCCCTGTGCTCGTTTTAAATAAAATGTTTGTCAAATTAACATGATATTTTGAACTTTTATTTTCTAAAAAATTCAATTTCAATGGGATATAATTCCAACACGGCACAGTTATGTATATTTAACATTTCATATCACAGCTGTTGTGGAAAAAAATCAGAAAATTTTTCATGTTTTTGCCACTATGATTTCAGCACCTCCCTAGGATGGGGGGCATGATTGCTCGGTATTATACGACAAATTCTAAAGTTGAAATCGAGGCTTCTATGCGGAAGGTGGTCAAGCATATATTATTATGTAATCTAGGTGAGTATTTTGGTGAGATGTGTTCAGAAAGGACCGAGGTCAGTAAAAGATGGAGAAGAAAGCCTTGTGTCTCATGCCACAATTTTCACGAAATGGTCGGAAATCTGGGACTGAAATTGCCATCGATCTGTTGTAAGTACTGTATAGATGGTGGAAGATAACATTGGTTATTTGGCGTTGATGATATTAACCAAAAATTGGTGTAATTTGCAAATAAGGCAACATGTCGACATTTTTGTCTTGACGTCAACAATATTTTACATTAAAAGTCCAAATTCAACTTGACGTTTAAATAGTTTATTATCTGTTATTATTTTCAGATAGAATACATTTGCCAGTAAACAGGTGATGAGAGGTTTGCTCCAGCTGTGAACACGTCTTCCGTCTTAAACAATGTAAGGACATCTCCCTTCTCAGACAACTTCATTCTCAGGTCCTTATTTGTTTTTTTAAAAATTCAAAATCCACCTCAGCAAATCCCTACCCGCCAATGTGCACATGTCGTGACTATGTAGTTCTTCTTTCTAAGATCTCATAAATGTTGTTTTTACTACCCTCCTGTCATATGTTTATTTCTAAAATTTCACTTTATACGTAATGCGAGGGTCACTATCTTTTTAGTAGCACCCCTGACGTGTGATTCTAAAGACACAGAATGTTGTCACGTTACAGTATGTACACGGTGTAAAAGAATAGAAATTATATTGTTTGAAAGTGCATGTTTACATAGAACGTGTCAGCTCAGTATATGTAGGTATACAGTGTATTCGTCTAATTTTAAAGTTGAAAAGTGGTTTGATGAATATTACTATCGAAATCGGTTACCGTAAAATTAAAAATTGCTTAATTCAATCGCTCCATAGACATTGCTGACCCATTGCTTTGTAAAAGTGGGTTTATTGTTTAATTTCAGTGACTCAACCGTGCACGAGGAGATTGAATACGTTCTCCATCAAAGACGTCAGACTCGTGTTCCACAGCGGCTGCATCCATGTCAAGATTACATGTCGCATGTCAGAGTTCGTCTGCTAGTAAATTTGCAGGGTTGAAACTTAATATGAAGTGTAATGTTTACTTTGGGTTGTGGATCGGCTGTAGTTATTTTCAAACTATCACAAAGTAGTGTTCAGGAAGAGCACTTTGCTACACGTACATGTAGTAGTGGTTTATTTTCGTGTAGGTGTGGAAACATAAACAACAATGCACATGTAGGACGACCGGTTTTCTTTTTGATGGTAACATATTTGTGTGGGCAAATCTGCAATTTGGCACTTCTCCGTGAATAATTATTTATTTTAAATTGAATTATAGTATTTATTTTGGTGATGTTTACTTTTGGAAAGAAAGAAAACGGCCCAACCGTGTAAAATGCATTTATGGAAGTCTTTGCTAGTTATAGTGTGTTTTCAGTTGAAGAAAAAAGAACAAAATGTGCATCCACCCAAAATTAATAAATTGCTGTAATTTAAATAATTATATTTCAGAAATTGTAGCATTATCAAACTGGCAGAATGTGTCATTAGTATTGAAGAACTGTCCACACGTATTGAAACAATCTTTCTTTAGTTTAAGTGTGCGATTGTGACGCATATAAAATAAACTTTTATAAAATAACTCATATAAAATAAACTGTTTTAATGAGGGGAGCGGTCAAGTCACCCTGGTTTAAGAAACGAAACCAAGGAGTTGAAATTTTCCCGAAAATAATATGCATTTGTTATTGCAGTAGTGGTAGGTCTGAAAGGTAAATCATTATGTTACAGAAAATGATTTATTTTGGAATATTATCTTCAGTAAATGGTCTATGTAGGACTGACATTCATCAGAAACTTTTACACACTAAATTTTCGATTTCTTTTTTTTTTAATGAGTAAAATGAGTATTCGATGAAGGTTTTAAGATTGCTAATTTCTGTCAATAAACCCAACAAAGAATATGATACAATTTTTAAAAAACCAAATTTACAGAAAAAATTCTAAAATTAAATAAGCATTTTTCGTAAATTTACTTAAATTTTGGCTAGCAGTTTTTTAGCCAATTCTTTGAAAGCTTATTGAATTATCATATAAAATTACTTTTTCATAGTATTTTGCTTCTACACATGAACAATTCTCATTCTTTCAGTATGTAAAAAGTTTATCCAAAAATGTGTAGATCAGAGCTCTGTTTAAGGTTGGCCTTGTACGTAGTATTTTCTTAGTTTACTCTTTGGTCGAGATCAAAGAATGATTGAAGAATATTTCTTATCGGATGTCAGTCCTGCATGTCATGTTGAGTTATAGTACCGAGTGTCACTTGATCACTGAACACCGGAGACCAGTTTGAAGTTTATTAGTGATGTCTTCGTAAATGTGTATTTCCAAAATCTATATTTATCGATGAACAAAGCTATCAGGAATTTTACAAAATTTGATTATTTTGATTACCTATTTTTGTTTTGTGAACATCAGCAAGACGACATAGTGCTTCCAATTGGGTACATGTGTCGGGATAGGATGAGGTTATATGCATATTGAATTTTCTATATCGATCACACCAGTGTATTTAGACAAACATATTTTGGTATTATGTCTATCATAATATTCCTGAACTCCTTTATAAATCAAAAGGCTACACCGGCCAAGTAGAAATGTTCAAAATGCATAGAATCTCGACATGTTCTACTTAGATAGAGAACCATTTTTGTTTGTATGTAAAAGCTCAATTCACATTTCATAGTACGTTTTATGAAATTGACATTAATGTAGAAAAAAAAAGTTTTGTAAGTTTTATAATATTTTGTGAAAACAATGCTGTTACTTTTTGTATTCATTTGGGCAATAATAAATGTGCTATATTGTTTCATGAACAAAATAGAAGTTATTTTTCTTAACTTCAGAACCGCCGACTCCTCTTACTATCCTGTGTTCGTAGCACTGTTTTGTAGAAGTCGAAATTCTTTATTTGGATTTATTTTTGTAAAAGGTAGTTTGCTGGGACCCAGTGGCGCCAGGAATCGAACCTGCAACCTTCTGTCTGAGAGGCAAGCGCGTTACCTACTCCTCTAACTGTTCCCACCCACCCTCCTCGGGTAGACTTTCTTCTTATAGTAACCAAAGGAAAAATTTAAAAAGACTGGGAATTACTCGGTTTTATCCAAGTACGCGAGCAGGAAAGTGAACCCCAACCCGTGGGTACCAATGAACATGAAATTAATACAACGCATTGCATAATTTTGGTATTTCTTTATTAAGAACAAAACAAAATTCCATTCCATATATGCATGTATATTTAACCATCAGTTTGTGCGACTACAATTGTGATTCTTTTAAAGTTTTGAAGGTTTGAATATAATGATATAAACAAAGCTATTGAGATCTTCATTAGAATTCACTAAAAATGTAACGAATTCAATCTATTTGATTTGACAAATAAAACTATCAACTAAACTTCTTATGTTTGATCTTATGTTTGATATTAAAGAAAATATTTCAGAAAAGACCTTTTCCTTTAAAAAAAACAACGCCGGATCTAGTATCCGTCCAACCTTTAACTTCAGAAAAAAAATCAAAAAGGAAACCCACTCTGGACTTACATTATTAAGTACACATAATGCTACAAACTGCCTAGAATTTCACAATTTGACCACATTTAAATGGCCCGGACCCGACGTTATTTTTTTCTCTGTGTCTAACCATGCGTTATTAGAAGAATTATTTCAATAACTAAATACCTACAATCATGAGCAATTCTACAACTCTCGTGACAAATGTTTTGCTATTAACAGAACATTAATTGACCTCACATAGCACATGTAGAGAGTAAACATATTTGCACATGCTGATTGATCTAATAAAAATAAGATACATTTTTTAAAAGTTGGGCAGATTTTGAAAAATAGTATCAATGGTCCCTTCAACTTTACACAGAATCTGATATATATAATTAATTTTTTTAAGAAAGCATCATCATCCCTGAGGCCATTTACATTTTTACGAAATTCGTAGTGTACATGCTTGAATCTTGTAGCCTAGACATCAGAAAATTGGATCATCAACAAGAACGAGCTTATGAAATCAAGTATTCTAATCTCTTATCTGAATATTTAAAGCAAAGACAACGTTAAAGGCACATAGTGAGCGCTGGATCCGTATGTAGCTAATATTTTATTTTTCTAGAAATTTCTTCAATAAATCACCAAGGTATACGGTATCCAGAACAGTTCATGCAATTCGATCCACAGAGTCATTATTTCTTTTAGAAATTATAACAACAAATCACATAAAGGCAGGGAATACGGTATCTAAAAGAGTTCGCAGCATTACGATCCATATACTCTCATCTAGCTCCAAAAAAGCCCCTTTCGTAATGAAAATAGAAGCTGGTCAATTTCACTCACGGCGGCAAAATTGAAATTTACAACAAGAAAACGCGTTTCTATCAATTGTAAACGGCATTGAGACGTAATGGAGGGCGGCACATAACAACTAGACCTTTTTTTTTAACTTTTATACATCGTAATTTTGTGAACGGTGTTATATGTGGTCTGGTGATAAAGGAAAATTGTTGATTTTCTCAGGATGTTATTTTCTAGGTTAAGGTGTAAAGCGCACTATATGCCTTTGAATTGAAATTAAAACCCATGTTTTCGAAGAGAGTGATATTATTTTGTATGCTGAACTCAAACTACTAAAGAACAAGAAATTAAGCTATCCTAGTGAATACAATTATTATTCAATGTAATATCCCCTATTTGCCATTAATTTTTATTGGATAAAATTACACATTTTAAAAAAATATAGCTGACAAGACATTATACTATTTCCAAAACTTGTTTTAAACATTCAGACATCAAAAATGAATCACAAATAATTTGTCTTCAAATAACTAACATTGGTATCTTACGGCGTTGTACTAAATCGGTTGAAAATGATATTTTCGTATACTTAGTATCTGGACCGCCTCGCATCCACTCCCTGGTCACTCAGAACTGATGAAGACGTGACATCTCTTTCTGGAGTGTTGGTTACATATGATTCATGGGGGAGGAGGCAGGATATTTTGGACACTCAAAATTGTTTACTCAATTATCATCATTATCTGATTGGTAAACCTTCATTGACAATTTACTGCAATAAAAATGCATAGGACGCATTTGTGTTAGATATATTTCAAAACACGCCATTGATAAAAGTAATCTCATACCCTAACACCCCCCACAATAAAACATTATTTACGTCACTGGTTACGATCAAATGCACATTTTTATCTGAACAGAGTTTAATATATGTGACCGACCTGAGCGAACTATGGCGCCATCTGCTGGAATCAGCAGACTAAAACTTTATAAACTTTAAATCATGTGATCATATCTGAATGTACGATGTTGTAGTCTTCATTTACCTTCACAATGACAGATAAACTTGCGAATATACAGTGTGTGTGTGTGTGTGTGTGTGTGCGTGTGCGTGGAACCTGGTCATGATAACGAAGGCGTTTATTAAATTATTTTGGTCAGTTGCACAAAAGAATGGTTGATTAGTTGGAGAAAAATACCACTTTTATCCCAGGAAAATCCTTGCAATAATTTAACACGTCAGCACAAACGCCGAAGATACGCTTTGCCTATATTTTGCCGAAGCATTTTATTCAAATTGATTTTTTTTTTACTTTACATCATAAAACCAGTTATCATAACGCCCGTCTGTACTATCATGCACAAGTTATAACAGTTTTATTCTACCTCCCCAATATCCTCCTGTCATTTTATGCTGTCAATATTGACATATACAAGATTTCAACATATATCATACATTACATGATTATTTCACATACAGCACTCGAATAACACAGTTTATGTAATAAAAGAAATGAAATTCCATTCGTATCAAATATTTTGTCTTCGGGAATTGATATTTCAAATTGTTATGCCTCCGCCTGGCGTTTGGTAGAATACAGAAAAGGTGGTGATTATACGAGCAAGTTTGAAACAAGAGGAGGTGTGTTAATCTGTTAAACTGATTGCATTCAGCAGAGTTGGATTGATCTACATAGAACGAAATGGAATGAAACCTTAGATTCATTAAAATGTATCTTATTAATATTGTAGTGCTCTTAATATTTTATCTAGAACTGCAACCCACTGGGTTATCAATATCTTATCAATAAATAAGAAATAATCATTATTATACAGGGTGATATTCTTGGCGTCTGTTCTGTCTCAACATGATTGCGACGTCTACCACAGAATTGATGATAATGTGCTAGGTGTGACAAGCCGTTGGTCGCTGTTGATTGTAGGCCAAAACAAACTAGTCCACGCTTATCCATTCCATGTATTAATGGGAGGTTAATTTTCACGAGACTGGACACAGGTAACTGTAAGGTCTCTATCTGTAGTAAAAAAAATATAAGATATAAGATATCAGTCTCATATTTTATTTTTAGAAAGGGGAAATATGAGTAACCTACGCTTTCAGTTCAAAAACCAAAATAAAGTCAACTGGTAAATTATTGCATTTGGATTAGTATTAGGAATAAGTTCAATTAAGCCCTTTTTTGGTAGAAAACCTTCTGTCTTCAAACTTGTTCTTCTGCTGAATACTTCCAGTAGAAAAGAATTATGTAATTTAGCACGATATATTAAACAGGCTGGAAGGGGCCACAGCTGTATGTATATGTGATTGTATGTTTGAGACTAATGGAATACATTATTCCAAAGTAAATAAACTATGTATAATTGTGTGAAAAATAAAAAAAATGCAATCCTTCTTGAATTTGATTTTTAATTTTTTTTTCATTTTCTTTATTATTCGCATTATCTTGTTATCTAGCTAAATCTTATTGCGGAATTGATCATTCAATATGGTCATGAAAGTTATGGCAATTTCATAGCAGTAAAATACCACACCCTAGCGATCTAACGTTAGACAAATTCTTTCTCTCAAAATCAGCAGAGCCACAGACAAAATGAAAAAAAAAGCTTTGGAATATGAGTTATTTATATCTATAAAAAATCAACTATTCCTGTTCGCTGGATCATATTAATGAAAGTGATCTTTACAGTACCTCTCGAGGGAAGGGAGGGGGGGGGGGCGTACACCGGGGCTCTCAGGAAGCCCTTCTCAGTCTTCTAGCTGATACAAAATTCTTCCGAAGGATGGGTCGAGCAATGATTTATAATGAAAAGAAAATTGTTTTATTTCTTTGGTGAAATTACATTTGCTAGCTTCAAATATGTATTATTTTCATCAAATAATAATAATTAAGATAGCTTAGGTGATCAAGAACACCGCTATTTGAAATCTTTGCTGTGGACATCACTTCCGGACAGCCTTACATTACTACAGGCAATCTAATTTGCATATAAGAGAAAAAAATGCTTTTTTTCTGGATTTGAGTCTTGTACAGTTTTTATTACTTTTGTAAATAAAAATGTCCCTTTACCCTCACAAATTTCCAATTATTTGATCGACACGCCCTGTTTATGAATTTATTTATATAAATGATAAACCTTCATATCACAGGCGTGAATCACGTTATCACGCCCAAGTCATAACATTGTTAAACTAGCGCCAATAACTGCAGTGGAGAATGTAGGTCAATTGCCTGTACAATTCTCCCATAGCATTATTGATTTTTTTCTGGAGTGGAACATTTTAGGGAGAGTCGGACGATAGAGAGAGGTATCCATTGAACCGCAAAATAAAAAGAGAGCGTGGAGCTGCTATAATGATAGTCTATTGGTATCTTAGAGAAAATTGTAAAAATAGCACACTTTTCCAATTTCACTTTGTAGCACTTTGCAGACAACATGATAATTCTCTATGCCATCTGTCTCTCCCTACTAATTTGTTGACCACGTTAACTGTTCAACTCCCGGCAGAAGATGAACCTGCCAACGATAGTTTTGATACGCAGGTGTAGGAGCCGCACCCTGAACTTCAGGTCTTAATAGCAATTAACCCTTGCGGTTTCAAGTAACTGGAAACGACAAGGGTATGCCATAGTAGAGTAGATGTTTGTTTCAAGTTATCTCTGATGCTCAGGGTGAGAAGCCGGAATATAGGGGCGAGACGAGAGGAGGGGGGGCACTTAACCCTTTCACCCATTATTATGCATTTTCAAACTTTAATTTAGGTGTATTTGTATTTATACCCATAGGGTATATTTGTAACCCATGAAAGCCACTTTTTATTTACCCGAGATGCGTCAAACATTTTATTATTTTGCGTGATCCGTGAAGTCTATTCTATGACACGTAGGCCTAGTAGGAGCTGGGATGTGGGGCGAGACGGGGGGTGGGGGGGGTGGGGGGTCCCCCCTCACAATCAACTACGTCAGTCCTAATGAGGGTGTGGTGAGGGGGAGGCACATCAAACACGTTCCTTCTACATGGAGACAGAGTGATTGCAGCACTATTTCCACCCTGGTCCAGCAACCCAAGGCCTTCACTAGTGGTCAGATGTTAACAAGTCAGGAAGACAGCACTAGGGACACTCAGGTAAACTGACCATTAGTGATGGGGTCATCAGTTGACCACAATACAGAGGTCACTGTCAGTGGATTATATTTGTATTTTTCATAGATTTTATATCAATTCTAAGTTTATGTATGATATAATTATATTATTACCTGTGATCAGATGTAATTCCTGTATATTTCTCTTTTTTTCATTTTTCTTTTTTGAGATTTTAAACTTTCAATATCTGACTTGCCTATCTGTCATTGAATCTATTTTTTGAAGTCTGTAATAAGTACCGTCTTCTATGTCTTGTTTTATCACATTTTCATTTGGAGTTTTATATTTTGTTGAATAAACAAAAAGTTGCTTATTATTCTTATTACTCTTTATTCTGTCTCTAAGTCATTGGATATATAAATTTCATACATGAAAATGAAACAAATTTAAATTAGTAAATAAATAAATTATGTAAAAATGAAACACTTGCCTATTTCTCTCTGTTTTCAACAATAAAGATAGGAGAGAGGGATTTTCTAGCGTAATATCATGTATTTGACTAATTACAATTCTTTTTTTATAGATGATCTATCACAGACAATGTGTCTGATCAGGGAATTATATCAGATATAATTCCCCGGTCTGATCATGAAGTAAATGGTCTGATGAATACTGAACCTACACAGTATAAAAGTAATACTTATTGATTAAAACTGAACAAATAAATTAATTACAGTATCAATTACAAATTATGATTTTTCTTAATTTGTCCAAAAATAGCAAAGTTTTATACGGTAATGGTTTGTTTTCTGTTTTTGTCATCTGAACACATCATTGAGAGTTGTAGAAAGGATTTTTCATAATTGTAGTGATGAGACCTGGGGTGGTCCTTTTTATGCCAGTAAGTATTTCATAGACATCATTGTCAGTAATGATGGTGATATTCTCTGTGGTAAAAGTGTCATCATCTTTATGACAGTATTCTGTTCTTTCTTCCTCATATATATGATGGGTTATGGCATCATTGTTTGTCAGTTTATTTTCCACATTACTTATTTCAACAGTCTCTCCCTCTGAATTTAAATCATTGTTATGCCCACGTTCCTTGCCAAAAGTTCCATGTATATCATCTGATTCATGTTTTCTTTTGTTGTGCGTTGTTTCTTGTGTTCTGCAATTATTCCCTTGATTAAATTCTACTCCACATTTGTCTGGTTTCTCACAAGTGTTCATTCTTTTGCTGCAGGCCAATTTTGTTATAAACTCTTTGCCACAGAATTTGCATGTATCATGCTTCTCTCCAGTTTGAATGGTTTCATGGACGGTGCAAAAACCTTGAGTAAGAGTTTTGTCACCAGTGTAAATTCTTTCATGGTAAGTGCAGTTCCCTTCTGGAGTGAAAGTTTTCACAGAAATTCTACACTCGAAAGGTTTGTCTCCAGTATGATTTTTTTCGTGAAGTTTGCAGGAATTGTTTTGTGTAAAAGTTTCCTCACGGAATCTACATTTGTAAGGTTTCTCTAAAGTATGAATTCTTTCATGCTTAATGCAATTCCCTTTATGACTGAAAGTTTTGTCACATAATCTACACTTGTAGGGTTTGTCTCCAGTATGAATTCTTTCATGCACAGTGCAAGGACTTTTTTGTGCAAAAGTTTTGTCACAGAATCTACACGTAAAGGGTTTCTCTCCTGTGTGAATTCTCTCATGACGTATGCAAAAAATTTTGTCTCTAAAAGTTTTGTCACAGAATCTACACTTGTAAGGTTTGTCTCCAGTATGAATTCTTTCATGCACAGTGCAATGGCCTTTTTGAGTAAAAGTTTTGTCACAGAATCTACACGTAAAGGGTTTCTCTCCTGTGTGAATTCTCTCATGACATATGCAATTATTTTTGTCTATAAAAGTTTTGTCACAGAATCTACACTTGTAAGGTTTGTCTCCGTTATGAATTCTTTCATGCTGAGTGCAAAGGCCTTTTTGAGTAAAAGTTTTGTCACAGAATCTACATTTGTAAGGTTTCTCTAAAGTATGAATTCTTTCATGCACAATGCAATTACCTTTTTTAGTAAAAGTTTTGTCACAGAATTTACACTTAAAGAGTTTCTCTCCTGTGTGAATTCTCTCATGATATTTGCAATTATATTTGTCTGCAAAAGTTTTGTCACAGAATCTACACTTGTAATGTTTGTCTCTGTTATGAATTCTTTCATGCCCTATGCAAGATATTTTGTCTTTAAAAGTCTTTTCACAGAATCTACACTTGTAAGGTCTCTCTCCGGTGCACATTTTTACTGAATGCTGTAAGAACTTAATTGGTGGTATAAAAGTCTTGTCACAGAATCTACACTTGTAAGGTTTCTCTCCAGTATAATTATTTTCTTGTATTTCATGAGATGATTAGTCGCTGAAAGATTTTTGTCACAAGTACGTAACACTGAGCCCCAATTCCAAGGCTACTTTTCACATAATTCCCTTTTTTTGGTTTGTTGTTCCTTTTACAGACAATTCCTGTCAGCCATTCTTTCACCACTGTCTTACATTTTGCTGTGAGCCAGTCAGTCACTTGGATAAGGTGCTAAGACTTATTGAGGCTTGATATGCCCTTTCCAGTACTGAAATTGTGTTCACAAGTCAAATCTCAGAGCACCATAAGAATATCCATTTGGATTCTGTATGAACTTGTTGTTAACATTACCAATGCACCCAGTTTTTGTACTGAGCAATGCATAAAGTTGTATTAGGAACCCCCTGTTTAAAATCTTGAATCCAGTCATTCTATTGGACAATGTTAACTGCTGGTTACAGTGGACATATCTGATTGGTTGAAGTCATTTCTCTCCAATACTTCAGATGCCTTAATTTAAAGATGTTATCTGCACAACCCACTGCATATAATTATCTGTTATTATTTCACTAAGCATTGGTAAACATGTACCATGACACCATCAAGCTACATCTACATGTAGCTAGTTAGAAGACAAGAAGTGATTTTATCAGTCAGTTTGTATTTGTCACACATGCCAGGCTAGTTCTGTGCATGATGTGAAAACCCTTCAGCAGCCAGCAGTTTAAAAAAGGTTGGTTCTTTTCTGAAAAAAAAAATGGACCTTTTCCCATCCAATATTTGTGTACTTAGATAAAATTTTGCTCAGAGGGTACATTTTCCCCCAAAAAAAGGGAGCCCACGCACCCCCCGGCTACTGGGCCTGTTCAGGTTAAGAAATTTATAAAAAAAAATTAGTTCAGTTATAGGTATTAAAACTTTATTCATTAACTCCATCAAGGCATGTAACTTTCAAAAAGGAGCAAGAATGGACTTTTTTAATGTATGTATGTGCAATTTTTTTACTTTTTGTGACTGCATTTTTACCAGCTTTTCTGTTTCAAACATAAGTAATCTCTCTCAGCTTATGACCATGTTAAGTTTTGTCTTTCAGGGTAGTGTACCAATAGGCCAGGGAAACACTAGTTGAAAATAGCTGTAATATCAGTGAGCCACCACACCATTAAGACAGAGATGGAAACACACCTACAAGGTACCCCCGATAGGTACATGTATGTCATGTTGTTTAGTTTTATTACATTGTTATGTAGTCATTAAAATTGTTATGTTAAAAAAGTTCAAGTACAATAACCTATTTAGGTTTTATGTAAATTTCCTGAAGGCTTACTCATAGGAAATACTGTCAATGTTAATGAATGGTTGTGTGTTTATTTGATAGATTAAAATATTTGAAGAGAAAAGACACAGTCATGTTGATGGCTGATCAGAAAACCAAACCAAAGAAAAATATTTTTTACAATGAAAAATACATTTTACTTCTATTATAGACAGACCATACCTGCGGAGTTGAACATTTCAGATATTTTAAAAGAATCTTGTGTCACCTCTCTTGCCTAAAGATGTCATTGAATCTGCTTTATACAGTGTAGAATTTATTTGTTTAATGAGTGTTTTTAAGCAGGCACTGCCTTTCTGCCTCCAGGCCTGTAGCCAGGGGGGGTGCGGGGGGTTCGAAAGAACCACCCCTTTTGTCAGGAAAAGGTCCATTTTGGGTAAAATTTTATCTAGGTACAAATAAGTGTCATTGTAAAAGGTCCACTTTTTCAGAAAAAGAACCCCCCCTTTTGAATTTGCTGGCTACGGGCCGGCCTCTCTATATATTCTGATCTCTATGGGCTCATTCCCATAGAAACCATGAGTATTAATATTGGTCCAACTCTGTGCCAGGGATCTCACCAAGTGCAATCAGCTTAACTGAACAACACGCCTCCTCAAGTATTAAGTAGAATACCGAATAGTTGGTGATGTGTAAGATGAAAATGAGAACAGTTTAGGACATATATCAGGATCATTGGGCAATATGGAAAAGAGGCATGTTTTGCTTACTAAAATGACCCTACGGTTGGGTATTTAATATTTTCTTTCACAGTGTAATGATGTGTAAATGTGTGATCTTTATTTAGAAACATATTGATGAATGAAAGCAATGAATATCTTCTGAAGGAATATTGTAACATATTTCCAGATTCATCAACTGAAGAGAAACTTTGGAGACCACCTTCCTATCAGCATGACAGCAAGGACAAATCTGATGTACTTCATCAAATGCATATCTTGACCAGTAGATTAACTTGTTCTCAGAGTGACTTACAACTCAGCAGCAATAAGAGACATTATTAGAGTGTAGCACTTCAAGTTTCATAGTTTTCTGGTGTCAAGTCAGTTTTATATCAGGCAACACTGATATTCAGCATTTTTTTTTTCATTCTTTTCTGGTGTCAAGTTAAGAAGTTTTTTCCTTTACATCAAGCGAATTCAAGTGAAGTCTGATGCATTTTTTCTTGAAAGTAAAAGATAATATACGTATCGTAGCCTTTGATGTTGTAAAAAACTTGTAAAAACGAATAAAAAACTAGATAAGGGAAGAAAAGGGAGTCAGTGTTCATATTTACAAGTTAGAAATTGTTCTAGGAAATGATGATAAGATATTAGATTTTTAAAATAAAACATTAACTGAAAATTTTCCCAGTCTAATAAAAAGAATATACAAACAATTTCTTGGAGAATGTACGCGTCTGATTCTGTTTAGACATATACTTCTTTAATAATTCTTACATAAAATGCATTTATCATATGACACTAAACATGTAAAACTACTATCTCAGCGTCCAGTTATTTAACTTATCACAGGCGTTTGTAAGTAGCAGGAGCTCGAGATATGTAAATTAAAACGAATACACAGATTGTCACTTTTGACGAAATGTGTATCGAAAATTAATAACCTTAATAATGCACATATAAAAGGTAATGACAACGGTTTTATTATCTGTAAAAGTTGCAAGTGATTCTTAGAGGTACAGTCTTTGTCTTCCTTTCTTGTGCTCCGTCGGTGTTGTTATTAAAAGCAAGGAGTTATAACTCCTTGTTAAAAGTAAGTTTACTCAAGAAGTTATAAAGAGACTTCTTGGTTTACTATTCATATGTATTCCCAAGGAGTTATAACTCCTTGGTATTCCTAAGAGATCGAAAGTCTTTACTATCTTAACAGCAGCTTGCTCGATATATAGTGGTGTTTTTACATTTTGATTCCGTCTGAAATCTGTCATCATTTCTACTATTTATTTATTTATATATTTGTAGTATAGAGGGCTAACAAATGTAACTGCCACATTTAATGCTCGAATAAATTATTATTATATTTATTATTATTTCTTTGACTTTACAAATGTTCAAAATAAGATCATTACTCTTGCACCACTCAACAACAGTTTCAACAGATTTTCTTTATGCGCTTTCGTTGTCATTAGTTATACCATGGACATAATAGGTCCAAGGGTATACCAAACAAGTCCGACAAGAGTCGTATCATCTGCAAATTTCATTGCCTCAACCCTAGTGTTAAATCTTTATAGAGCGTGAGTAATGAAAGACAGCATACTTTAACTTTTTGTGCTGATAAGAATTGCCTCATTTATTTTAAATTTTAGAAAAAAAGGGATTAGTCTTAGAAATTTATAGCCGTGACTAGATGGCTTTTTTTTAACATAACAAGCTGATGATAGGTGTGAAGAGTCGGTAAAAAGTGCATCCTGTCTTCTTCAACACAATTCCACGCAGTTGTCAGTCATTCCGCCATTCTACACATGAAATCAGATTGCTAAACTTGATCGCTTGATATCAAGTATTATGACCGATAAAATGTGATTGTTTTATCCATTATGAATGTAGTAAACCCGGGTCACCTTCCTGGGATGGGGATCCATGATTGCATATTATCATATAGATGTAATGAAACTCAATCAGATTATGTACATCTTAGTGGAGGAGCTAAACGAAATCGATCGTAGATAACATATTTACTCTGAATAGTCTCATGAGGAAAAAAACAGACTCTTCGTAGCGTACTGTCTTTAAAAAACTTAGGTGTTTCTGTAAATTTCCTAAACACTGAAGAATGAACCATTTGAAATTAAACGAAACAATTATTTATTTATTTATTTATTTATTTATTTAGTGTGTGTGTGTGAGAGAGAGAGAGAGAGAGAGAGAGAGAGAGAGTCGGGTCTAGGCACGAAGGGCGTTCTTTAATGGTATTAGGATGCTGAACAGTAGTGAAGAGGTTTTTATTTTAAATCTTTATGTAATTCGCTTGTATGAATTTGAAGTTGCATGTCTCCTAACTGCGTGGTTGCTATCACAACGTTCTGAGGCTGCACTGACATCGTAATAATCTTCAGGGAAGCCACACGGAGGTATCTTAAGTTCCAGATTTCGGTACTGACAGCTTGGTCTTGCCTTATCAGCGGCGGATCCAGAGATATATTTTTCCAAATTATTTTTGGCCCGTCCTCTACTGCCCCCCCCCCCAACTTCCGCACGCGCTCACACACGTTTACATATATATGCAAATTTATTGAAATGAAAGTAATCCTTGTAGTCAAATGTTAGACGTATCAAGTCGATGGGGAGATTGTCCTAAAAGATGCTAGACCAAACATTCGACGGGGGGAGGGGGGTCATATATCTACCAGTCAGTACCGACTAGTACCCCTCTCAATGGTCACAGTTATCGGTATTTTTTCATAGTATTAATGTACCATATCCAGAACTCTGTGTTAAACTGTCAGCAAGGGAAAAGTTATTCATATTAAGCTTCGGTCACAACCGGCCGTGCGGGCTCTTACGGGCTGTTTGCGTCCAAATTTTGCGCAGAATCTGATGTCCCACGCAAGGCCTTCTTACGCAATTTCGAGTTCGCAGACAGCCCGTAAGCACGTACGGAGGATGTCGGACATGTCCAAAAGATTCTACGAATAGCCTGCGAACATCGAGGCCGCAAGCGTAACTTGCTCCCCTCGCACGGAGTTAGCAAGAGAGACGCGCGTTGTGCAAGACGCACGTCGCAAACAATGAAGGAGCAAGTGTCCTATGCGTGTTGAGTAAGGCGCACGCCCTCACAACTAACGAACAAAGTCGAGAGCACGCCGGGAATGCGTCGCACGTGTGTCACCCCCTCGCTTGGTGTATTAAAGGCGTGCTCACGACACACGCTCGTGTCTTTATAATGCACGTCGACTGTGTAACGTGTACAATTTTCAAAATATTCAAATTTGTGCTCAATTTAGTTTCTAATATGCCCCTAAAAGGCAAGAGAAAGAAGCTTACATAGTAGAAAAAAGGGAGGAGGAAGAAGAAAGAAGGGGAGAACAGGAAGCAAAACTGACGTACGCCGTGAGTACGTCACCACAAACGTGTGAGGCAAGTGTGAAGCAAAACTGACGCAAAAGGGCACTACTTTCGCCGTGCGTTGCATTCCTTCGTAAGTGGTGAGTGTGTGCCACGTACACAGGAAGCAAGACAAAATCAAGAAATGAGTACAATTTCCACGACCATCGCTCCTTGCAATACGCATCCCTGCCTGAAAGGACATCTCATGTGGCCCTTGCGACTTGCAAGGCAGACTTTCCTCTACCTCTACGACCTCCACGGCCTCCGTGACACCCAAAAATCGCAGGGGACGTACGATTCTGAAATTCGTGCGTCCGGTTGTGACCGAGGCTTTATCTATCACTGTGTTTTTTTCTTTTTCTCGTTGTTAATGTTTGTCGAATGAGTAACGCAAAGTCCAATTGTTGTTTTCTAACTATGAAATGAAGTATACAAAGATGATGGTCATGGCTGCGGTAAGATCAGTAATACGTGTTGTAACCTCTGATGCTCAGAAACGTATGTGTGCTGCGGTATTGTGAGGGCTAACGACAACGATCTGCTTGTTATAGTGACAATAACGACGGTCTGGAGCTTTGGAACGTTTATTCACCGACTCTATTTTCATACAACTTCACAAATATTTAAACTCTATTTTCCCGTACTGATCATGCGCTTACTTGTTTTCTTTCCACTGTCTTTGCATGATTACTTGTTGACTCTTAAAGAAATTTAACTTGCACTCAATAATTCTCTTTCCTTTTGCACATTTGATTCCGTTTTAATTGTTATCTGTAATTATTGAAAGTGTAAGTCATTTGCTTTACAACAGTATCAACCCGCTCTCCTTTTTATTTTATTCGGCCCCCCCACGCCCAAACAGCGGCTAAATTTCCGGATAGTACCCCAAATATTCGGAGAATCCTCCAGTTTTAATTTTCCCGAACAAGAATAAGATAAAAATAAATATGAAACGCTCATCCCGGATCTTCCCAGCCTCGATCCTTTGGATATTTTAATACTTAAAAGTTGATAAAAAGCATACACTCTTGATTGTTGTTTGTTGCCGCTGTAAAGACCCCCGACTTAATCTAACGCATGCATAAAAAAACACTATGATAACATTCCCGAACTACTTAGGTATTGT